GCATATAATTATTTTTAAAATATTACAAAATTTTTATATAAAATTATTTTTAATTATTTTATATTTCGAACAATAAATATTTGAGCATGAACGGACACTTCCTCGTTCGTGTTTGGTTCGTTTAACAATCCAAACGAAAAAAAAAATTTGTTTGTGTTTTTCTCACTTGTTTATCGAATGAATCGAGCATGAACTCTCTGGTAAGTCGAACACAAACTCTTCACAAACAAGTAGCTTCTTTGAGAACTCCATCAATTAGTAAGCCAAGGGAGTTTTGTTGATCACACAAAAATAGGGGAGGAGACTCCAATTAGCAAGCTGACGGAACATCATTGATCGCACAACAAGTGTTAGGGGAAACTCTAATTTTTTCTTGGCTCTTTATAAGCCAAAAAGTGCCAAAATATGGGCCTAGCTTGCTTGTCCAGTGTCGTCCGTCAGATCTAGCCCGAATTGGTGGCTAGATCGTATTTTCATGCGAATCCGCATGAAATTTCAAAAAACAAAATTCATGTTTTTGCCGACCATTAGATCTTGATACCGCCACACACACATAAGCCCTCCGTTGTTGTCGATTGAACATCCCACAGATTATGGCTATACAAATTTCCGGTCATCTCGCCTCCAGATCCAGTGGATTGCCTGCCATTCGTCTAGTCTAGCTGCCCACCAATCATCTCCACTCCATCAGCCCACTGGTCACCATCTAGAAGTCTGTTCGTTCACGCCAGCGTCTTCGTACATGCCATCATCGGCCGCCACCATAAAATCCAAAATTTCCAACCTTCTCAAAAATTTTGCCCAATATTTTTTACTCTAATAATTTTCATAGAACAATGCAAAATTGCCTGAAAATTAGGGGCAATTGATATGTGATCACAAATTTTATCATTTGTCACAAAACTTGAGATGATTAACACAAATCTTGAGGCATTTTTTAGCAAGGAACTTTAAAACTTAATTAAAAATCATCTAGAACTTCAATTTTAGTAAGCTCATAGTGAAACTGGCAGGCTCCACGAGACGAATACAATGATGTCAAAATTGGTCTAAAGTCTAATCAAGTAAGGATCAAGTCATTAAACCACTTTTAGAAGCAATTGGCTACTAATTTGACGATCATATGGATTTTAATTCCGACGAACTTATAGTCAAATTGAGTATTATGATGAAATGAATCAAACAAACCCAAGATCATTCAATTACGACATCGTTAAGGCAACTAAATGTCCATAAAATATCATCTGGCAGCTGGAATCTTTCTGGGTTGTTCCAAAGAGTGCTTCAAAATGCTTCCTTATTTGCAGGGGAGACACTCTCAGACTCTATAAATAAAGCTCTGACCCTTTCACGAAGAGGGGATGAAGGAGAAGTACTTAATGCTAGAGCTGGACCCGAAGAAGAATTAGCTAACCTCTAGTGTCGTCCAAGACAAAAGACATGATGAATGCTTCCAGCTCCCACAATCACCGATCATCGACAGTCGTCCCCTACTCACTGACGTAGATGAATCCTGTTGTGTAACAATGCACCCTAAAGTATGTTTAACGATACACCCAGAAGACGGTGTAAAAATGTACCCCAAAGACAATATAACGACGAGCCTCAAAATGATGTAACAATGCACCCCAAATATGATGTAACGACACACCCCAAAAGAGGTGTAATAATGCATTTGAAAGACAATACAATGACACACCCTGAATACTGCGTAACGACGCAGATCGAAGACGTGTAACAACACACTCCGAATACGGTGCAACTTCCCACAATAACTGCTTATAATTGTTGTACTAAGAATACAACGGCCTTCTCAGAACTCTATAAGTTCTCTAATCAGAGCCCCCACTGTAGTTGATGGCTTATGTGCTTCCCTGCAACTGTAGCCTCTTGTTATAAATTTGGCAGCCAACTGACGCTACTACAACTCATCACCATGTTCTATGCGACCAACGACGACATACATGGTCGACATTTTATGCAGCTCCCAACTCCGACCTCTTTGGCCTACGAACATAATCACAACTCACAATTATAGCCTATATGACAAATTGCGACCTATCAGGTCCACATCTCATGCAGCTTCTAACTCCAGTTTTTGTGGTCTATGAACTTTATCATAGCCCATACTACAATTTATGTGACTAATTAGGACCCACGTGGCTCACAACTTCGGCAACTCCCTACTACGACATCTTTGATCAATTGTTGCTCCTGAAGCAACCATCTACAACCTACATGATCAACTACTGTAACAATTTTCAACTATAATATCTATGATAAGCTAACTCCACATACACCATCTGAAACATTCATAACAGGTTGCTATCTTCATAGCAACTAAATGCAGTCTCTGCGACTCGTTGCAGCTATTATTAGTGAACTACTGTTGTACATCAACTTTGTAATTCCATATTTCATAATTTATGAGAAGAGTGTGTCTATGTACTGATAATTACATAGATGATTATTTAAATTGAGCTAGATCCCATAGTTTTTTCTCTATTCAAGGTTTTCCACGTAAAAAAAAAAAAAAAGTAGTCAATCTCTCTCATCCTACTTACTCCGCACTTATCTGTGTGTGTACAATCTTCATCCAATACTAAAACGATAATTTATTACTACAACATCGTGAATCTTACTGCACTCAAACTCCATAGTCAGTTTGATGGCTAGCCAATGACTCCAAATAATTGCTGACAGCCCATAACATCGTCTTAATTATTGTCTTGTTTATATATAATTTAATGGCCTCTCCATTCATATTAAGAAGTAAATTACGATAAGACAAAAAAAGGCATAGCTGATGCCTCCGTTTAAAGCCCTAAAACATACTTAAATCATATCTAACATCACCCAATCGCCATCTTTCTTTCCTGCTAAGATCATTCTTGTTCACAATTCTACCGTTACTCATGGCCTGCCGTATTCTCTTGCAAGCAGCCAATCAGTAGCAGTCTGAGCAAAAGACGATAAAGCCCCTCGAAGCTTTTCTTGGAGGAGAAGTAAAGCCGATCAAACGGCTCAAGGCCGCTCCCCATTTCCGAGAAGAAAATTAATCCGAACCGGACCAAACCGAAGCAACCCCATTCCGTCGAACCGATCTCAGACTCAAATTTGTTCGGATCGGACATGAACCGAAGGCGGTCCGGCAGACCGAACCGGTCCAAGGCTGTATCTCATTCCCGCCATCTTCGGTGCGTGGTATTTTATAGTTTTCCTCTGGCGTAGTATAAATGAACGACATTGGAAGTCAACACGATGGTCGTTGCTCTTCACGGTTTGCTATCTTCGCAGAATCAAGCTCAGTTCGCCGTATACCATCGATCGAGCTCTTGAAAGAATGGCGAGGTTGGCTTCAAGCTCTAATCTGCTTCAGTGATTGCCCTTGGATTCTTCTCTCTGCTGCATTTGGGAGTTATTAGCTTGCGATCTTGTTTGATGGAGCTGAAAATCGGCATTAAAATATGTGCAAAAGTTGAGCTCAGTTAGCTTACACGAGACGCTCTCTGCAGACTGTGTGAAAAATTCTTGCTTTCTTCTTAGACAGCTTTTCAATCAGCTGATGCTTGGGAAAGCTCCAAGCTTTATGGGAATGGCTTTGTTTTTCTCTGCGCTTTTAGTCTCTTGAAGAAGGAGAAGATATTCGCTTGATTGGAACGAGTTTCAAAGGCTTCATTTGTGATCAATAAGATTTTGATAGTGCTTATGTGAGTCTTCGTTGCTAAGTTTCGATTGCGTTATGGCTAATACAACGTGGTTGATAAACTGTCGTGCGATTGCGAAAAAGGTGAAAAATGCCGTTTTTTATTCGAATTATCAGCCAAGGGACTTCGGAGCTGAAGCGAGTCGTGAATGTCCGAATTGTCAGCATACTGTTGACAACAGTGATGTAAGTTCTCACTTTACCAGCACTGTTTTTACTGAATTCGTTTATATATTTAGATATTTCTCAGGACTTGGGAAGATAACTAAAGATTGTTCCTTCTGCAGGTTTGTTTGGAATTGCCTGGACTACCTGAGATAACTAAAGATTGTTTCTTCTTCTGCAGGTTTGTTTGGAATTGCCTGGACTACCTGCTGGTGTAAAGTTCGATCCCACTGATGCGGAGCTTCTGGAGCATCTAGCAGGAAAAGCAGGGGTTGGGATTGCCAAAGCTCACATCTTTATCGATGAATTCATCCCAACTCTTGACGGGGAAGAAGGAATTTGCTACACACATCCTGAGAATCTCCCTGGTAAGAATCGCTGGTAAGTTCATCTTTTACCCACATGCATATTTTTTAACAGCACGATCAACTGATCTTTTTCTGTTTCTTAGGTGTAAGAAAAGATGGGAGCAGTGTGCATTTCTTTCACAGATCATTAAACGCATATTCAACTGGAAATCGGAAGCGCCGAAGGATCCAAAGCGGATTTTGCGAGACTGAAGAACGGGTAAGGTGGCATAAGACTGGTAAAACCAAACCGGTGTTACATAATGGTGTTCTGAAAGGCTGGAAAAAGATCATGGTTCTGTACAGAAGTTCTGGGAAGGGTAGCAAGCCAGACAAGGCTAATTGGGTGTTGCATCAGTATCATCTTGGGATGGAAGAAGAGGAAAAAGATGGCGATTTGGTTGTTTCAAAGATTTTCTACCAGCGAACAAAGCAAATGGATTGTAATGAGACTGAAACTGTTCGAGAAAAATCGAATTTTTTAACAGTAAGGTACAGTCCAAGAATGCCTACAACTATGAATCCGCAGCCAACTCGCTCTAAAATGAATCCTTCATATGAAACTGATGAGCATGTTTCGCTTCTCTGGGAGATTCAGGTATGCTTTAAATACTTATAAACTATATTTCTTTTATTTTGGAGGTTTAAAGATCGGTTTTTTAGCCGCTTGCCTTCACTTGGACTAAATAAATACTCAGCTTTAAGAATTGAAATGTACATTGAGATGATTTCAATGACTGAATTAATCATGTAATGTGAATCTCATTTCTTTGAAATTTAAAAGTATTTCTTACCTAAGGCAACTAAGATAACACGTTTAGAATCATTTTTATTTTGCTTAATATTTGCAGAAAATGAAAACTAATCGAAGAACCTATGTCTGAACTTGTTCCATAGTTTCAAAATTAATCAGCTTTTTCTTACTTTTTTTGGGTTTATAGCTCCATGATAGATGATTACATTAATGGTTTCATATAAGTTATCAAACATGTCTCTTTTTTTGAAAATAAAAGCAAAACTTTCAGTGGAAAAAAGTCAAGACAAAAAAATTAAAACAATATTAAAAAGACTTTTATAGCATCTATTAATGGCAAATCTAAGCCTGTGCGCCTTTTTAGGAAGAAAAGGCTCCGAAAGTTGAACTACCTCCATCAACATTTCCCATTGTTAATCTTAAGAATGAAAAACTGGAATCAAATTTGTGGGCGGGTGAGTCACAAGCCATAGAGGAACCAAATCCTCAGCTGATAAATGAGTCATTGCTATGCAGTAAAGTGCTAAAAAACTTTCCTCCCTTGGAAAAATCATCCCGACAACTTGAGAAAATATTGTATCCGTCGTCCGGACGTGCAGATGATGACATGGATAGCATCATGCCGTGCGTTCAGCAATGTGGTGAGATCCACGTCGTCGACCACAGTTCTAATTTATCTGACGTAATATTTTCTCAGCTTAACTACTCAAACACGATTCCCGGCTGTATAGATCAGCTTGAAATAGATGCAGATTCAGCTCGTGGCTTCCCTAGTCTCGAAAACATAGAAGTTGACACACCGCCTGACTTTCAGCTTTCTGTAAGATCATTTTTTACTTTCTCCATCATAATCAAGCTCATGACTTGTATAATTTTCATAAATTATGTGTCTGTATTGCAGGATTTGCAATTTGGTTCACAAGATAGCATCACGAGCTGGTTGGACCGGCTGTAGAGTGATAAAGACTTGGGATTTTTGAAGCCCGGTCTACCAATGATGATTATTTAGCAGATCAAGTGTTGGCATAAGAGTAGAATTTCATATTGCCAATCATGCATCTTTTTGCTGTAAATTGCAGGTTATTCTTACTTGTAAAAGACTGAGGACTCTTAAATTATGTTTATGCTTTATATTAGTTATTTTCAAGGTTTTAAGATTGGTGCTCGTATTGCCTAGTTGTGTTTTTCAGGCGTGGAGCGATTTCAACTATTCAACGGTCTTCTGTTATGTTAACTTTATAATTGTGACATGTTGGGGTTATAGTGGCACCATGAATGTTTTTTTTTTTGCTAGGGCTTGAATAATTTAGAAATCAGATTAGTACCATACTATAAAATTTAATCAAATAAACTGTTTTGATTTAAGTTGGATTGACTCTTTTTCTTTTTAAATTAAGGTCATTGAATCTGACTTCAAAAAAATGTTTATGTTTAATTTCAATCGAGAAGTGAAGGGAATATGTATTTAGTCTCATCGATAAAGTGACATAAGATGTTTGAATGTGTAGTATAATGGTTAGATGTTTGAATGTGTAGGATAATGGTTTGACATAAAGTGAAGAATCTTAATGTGTCTTGTTTGAGAGCTCAACCTGCCAGGAAAAAATGTAAAGAGAAATAGGGATGTCACTTGAACTTGTCTCAAAAAATTCCTTAAGTTGACTAAGTTAATTTTTTTGTTGGGTTCAGATCAAGAATCCCAACCGATTTAAGGTCTGTTTGGGGCAGCTGTTGATTCTTTATAATTTGCTGATAAGCAGATTATTTTGATGATTTGATAATATGTTGATTATCATAATAAACTGGCTTGTTGTTTGGGACAGCTTATTCAGAATAGCTTACTGGCAAGTGTTGTTGGATAAATGATCATTTTGCCCTTGTTTGATTAAGTTGTTCGCAACAAAATTATATGAGCACAGAAGTAGATAAAACAGAAGCCGCAAATCATTATAGATCAGTTCTAAAAAATAACATAAAGTGCTCACACGCTCTTGAGTATCAAAAATAAAATAAAGATAAATACAATCACAACTACAATGCGAAATATTGCAATATTCAATTTAAAGCTCTGACTATGTATGTCATCAGCTGCACTGTCACTATGAGAAATCACCATACCACGATCACAATTGGCAGTGCAATATGTCGGACGCAATATTCAATTTAAAGCTCTGACTACGTATGTCATCAGCTGCATTGTCACTATGAGAAATCACCGTACCACGATCACAATTGGCAGTGCAATATGTCGGACTGTCGTCAATATGAAGATGAATTCTTATGCATCAATTCACAATATAGACAACCCAACCACTACTCTAATCCAAAATTCTAGGGGCTGAATAATTCATAAACATTCCCTAAATCCAAAAGAAAATGTCATGTGGATAGTCACATCCAAAAGACTGTTAGCTTCAACCAAAATAATGCGACAGAAAACCTACTAAGAGACCAATTTTTCAAATCCAAACTAATCATACATGAATTAGAAGTCATACAATTATATGTTTCAACAAAAAGGGACTTTAATCTCTTAAGAACATCCCCACAAAAGATCAAGGATATCTCATAACAAGCAATCTGCAAACCCAATCGGATCACATGCTGCTTCAGGGTATAATTTTGCTATGAATTGATTGATCAAGTGATAATTATACAAATTTCATTGATGGACTTGGTCAAAAACGATGACTAAGAAGAAAAATCAAAACCCAATAACGTCAAATAAGATGAGGATCTCTTCAGAAATTAGAAGCAAGGAAACGATTTCATAAAACTTAGTCGAATTGAAAATTTCAACAATGGTTTTATTTGAAATATTAATGGTTTTATTTTGATAAAATATGCCTGGTCAGCTTCTATGAAAAGAAGGAAAATCATTTTGGTAATTTGGAATTATGTGAACAAGGATTATAATTATCTTATTTCGTAAACAATGACAACTAATACTAATATATACTAAAACCCAAGATATGTATTTCTGGATTCAAGATAGTTGCTATTCTTGTTTATAGACAAGGAAAATTTATTGTTTTTCTTTACAGAATTTCAAAACTCTTTTCATTTTTCACAAAAAGATCAAACTACTATAAAGAGTCAATAACAAATCTCCCCAGGAAAAAAAAAAAAACACAATCCTGGTAGATCATTTGAAATAACATTACATTGTTTCATTAGTTAGAAAATGCTAAATAAAAAATACTGCATCTGTTATAAACAAGTACTTAATAACTTTTACCACGCAATAGAGCCCTAAACCTTTGTTCGGTACCAATTCAACACCTGGTTTTATGCAGGTCCTGGACTTTCCGCCATAAAGCCCTACAAAGCTCTCTTCCACCCGGTAACTGGGCTGTGTATGGCGAAGAAATCTGTGTCTGAGCCGCTTCACCTGGGGCAATGCGACGAGTCCGAAGCCCGGGACACACTTCTATTAAAGGGCACAACAGTGTGCCTCAAAGCAGCAGGCGAGGGTGAGAAGGTGAAGTTTGGGACAATTTGCAGAGATTCTGCCTCCAATTGGGAGCTCATATCGGATTCGAAGATGCATTTGTCGACAAAATTGACGGCAAACAGCAGCAGTAGTACGTGCTTGGATGTCGACTAAGATGGAAGAACCATAGTGACTAGCACATGCCTATGTCTTGACAGAGATCAAACGTGCGATCGGCGATCCTGAGAATCAGTGGTTTAGGATAATTGGCAGATGCGATTCTCCGAAAAATTATTACATCAGTAGTACTACGACGCACGTAAATGAAATCACGTTACGCGGGACGAAGAAAAAAAAAAAACGCCCCAGCTAAATATTATTCATGTATTATTCATGTGTTATTGTGTTATTTTAATACTAAAAATATTTTGACATAATAACACATAAATAACACACAATAACACCTAAATAATATGTGGAATATTCCCGACAGAGAAAAAAACTACGCAGTAACACGGATGAATATTCTCCCCCATATTATTCATGTGTTATTGTGTGTTATTCATGCGTTATTATATTATTATAACACTAAGAATATTCTCAGGACGCAATAATACATGAATAACACACAATAACACATGAATAACACGGGGGGGAATTCCTCGTGTTACTGCGTTGTTTTTTTTTTTCTCTGTCGCGATGGGTGTCGTGGCGTGATTTCATTGGTTACGCACGTTACTCTATGTGCGTAGTACTGATGTAATATTTTTTTCGATACTCCAAGGGCTAGGGCAAGCAAGATCTGTGAAGGGCACCACAGAAATTCTTTTCCTAATTGCAAAATTCATAAGCGGGACGTGGTGGGAGTCCGGCTTGCGAAGGGATGAAGGAAATTGAGGCCGCACCAAAAATTTACATTGATCGCGATATTCAACGAGAAGACTCGCCACACATTTTTTTATTTTGTTCGGTTTACCCATCAATCTGAAATTAATCAAAATTATACTTGTTGACAAAAACTCGTCCCTAATTGACCTAAATTTGACAATAAATTAAGGGTCCGTTTTGGGCAGTTGTAGCTTATTGAATAATTTACTGATAAGCTAGATGCAGTGACTATTACAAGTTTTTATTTTTTTGAAAAGCAATATCATTGTCAATAACTAATAAGTTCCCATCGCACTTAGATAGGTGCGATGTGAAAGCGTTGTTTTCTGCGTTTTGAAAACACATAAGGCTGTGTCAAAATGCAATTTACCCAAACATGTCAAATAAGCTGCTCCAAACGAGCCCTAAGTGTCAGTTTGTGTCAACCCTATTTAAAACAGATCGGGTTCGTGTTAGACTTTTAAACTTATTTCAAATTTTTAATGGGTTTGGGTAGAGCATTTTTGGGATAGGTCAATTTTTGTTCAGACCTAAAAGTCAATCCACAAAATAGATTGGACATCTCAACTTAAAAAGTTATTTGTAAATATTTGTAAAATGTTTATTTGTTAATTTGCATGAGGAATAAATGAAAATATATATTTTTCAAACCTTCTGAGCTCTTTGTTAACGATTTTCACCAAACTCTTGTTGTATAAGTTTTTTTTTTTTTTTAATAATTGCTTTCAATCTTATAAGAGAAGGTCAATTTTTTTTTTATTTCCTTATATGTCAAGAGTTTTCTTGAAGGTCAATTTTTTTTTTTTTATTTCCTTATATGTCAAGAGTTTTCTAACGCAATAATGTAGGACTTTGTCCTGAGGCTTACTTTCTTATCTTTAGTTATATATTAATTGGTAGTTATCAATCTATTATGTTGGGTTTAATTGTTTTCAACTTAGATAATTGATTTTTAGCAGCTTTATATATCATCTGGGTGGCAAAAATTTTATGTCTGGAACGTACGGACTCTAATAATATGTCGCCACGTGTGCTATATCGCATATGTTATTTTAGGTTTATTGAAGTGGAACCGCGGAGGTTATTTCGGAGTTATGGAAGAAAAACTCATATATCCCATTTCAATAGCCCATAAATAATCCCAAAATAAACTTCACAGTTCCACTTCAATAACCCGGAAATAACACCGCGAATGTTATTTTATAATTATTTCTGAGTTATTTCCGGATTATTAAAGTAAAAATCATATATTCTACCCTGAAATAACGCCGCAAAGGTTATTTCGTGGTTATTGTGGAGTCCGCAGTTTCACTTTAATATTTTTTTATGTGTGGATTATTAAAGTAAAAATCATATATTCTACCATGAAATAACGCCGCAAAGGTTATTTCGGGGTTATTGCGGAGTCCGCAGTTTCACTTTAATATTTTTTTATGTGGGCCCAATATAGCACACATGACGCCATATTATTGGGACTTCGCACAAAGAGCTACGTCCAGTCTAGATAAGAAATCTTTCTCTTATGGGGGCCCTCATTGTATGACATTTGTTAGAAGTGCACAACCTGGGGCATACGACTACACAACATGTCCTACTTGTTGACATACGTTTATGGTAGGTTATTATCATCATCACTAAAGTAAAACTGAAATTTTTTATTCTGACTACAAAATGAAGTCATGTTGCAACGACAACTATAAGTAAAAAATAATTTAATAATTAAATTCGAAGTTACTAGCTATAAACTAAAAAATTTGCTAGCATGACATAGCTCGTTTTAC